GGACCAACTGACTTCATTCCTAAAATTCTTCACTACCTCCATTGGAGACCTTAATATACAATATATAATTTAAATATGATTAGTATGTATTATATGCAGGATTTCTTTAGACAGCAAGAACAAATTGTGACACTATTTGTTATTTTCTCATCGAAGCCCTAATTTTGGCCCCAATAGTCCACTTTATATGTTGATTTATGTAGTGATTTAATGTAATCATGTTGTAATAAAGAATAATGCAATGTGTTTGAATTTAAGATTCAGTGCGTTGGGTCAACACCTACATAAATATAGAAGTATATTTCATTTAGAAATCACAACAACAGGCAGCATCGGTTGTAAAATATCTTTCTTTTTTAATATGAAAGCAAAAACAAATTAATTTGTACCTTTTTGTTTATTTCCAATATCCCAATTATTTTCTAAGATTGTAATAATCTTAAGACTTTCCAGTGATTTTAGGTTAATTCTCTTTTAAATAGTAAGATAAAGTGTTGGTTTTCTTCTCTTCATCAAGTAGAAAACAAGTCATTGAAACAGAAAATGACAAAAAAAAGGGAGGGTTGGAGGGAGGTGTGTGGGAGGGATGGAGGGGGGGGGACTCTGGTCTGTGACATCGGGTAGAAAACGTCAGGTTAGCCCCTCCGTTAGCCTCTCTGCTCACATGCTCTGTGAGATTACGCATATCTGAATACAACAACAAGACAATCAGGTCGTCGTGTTTGTCCCTCACAGGAAGCCGTACAGGAAGTGAGCTTGCACGGCTCGTTAGAAAAACAAGATATATTTTACATTTCTGGCTAAATTGGAGGGAAGTGAGAGATGGTGGTTAACATTTATTCATCATCGTCGTCATCGTCGTCGTCATCGTCGTCATCGTCGTCGTCATCATCGTCGTCATCATCATCATCATCGTCATCGTCATCATCAACAATCATCGTCATCGTCATCGTCGTCGTCGTCGTCGTCGTCATCGTCGTCATCGTCGTCATCGTCGTCGTCATCGTCATCATCGTCGTCATCATCGTCATCGTCGTCATCCGGGTCGATCTTTCGGGAGAGGACATCCTCCACCCATCGCTCCAGCTCGTCGGCCGTCGGCATGTCGTCCTGGTCGTCCATTTCCATCCACACGCTGTCGGCCTGCGACGGGGGAGAGAACACTCACTCCATGACACCATCGCTCCAGAGAAGCCCAGTTCACGGCTCGAAAGGACGTTAAGACGACAGATATTCACAAAAGGGTATGCGTTGAAACCCACCATCGTCATCACACACCACTCTGGTGGTTTTGAAAGGTATCTAATATTTAGATGGGGCTTTTGAAAAGTAGCCAAAGTATTGTCATGGGTTTTTTGCTTACGTCCTCAACGTCAACCACCCCGATGTGAGGGGAAGAGAGGTCGATGCCGAAGGTCTTCTCCCAGTACGGCACCAGCTGAAAGAGAGACACAGACCGATTTCGCCTTACACACATGGAAATGATAATAAAATGACCAAGAGCATCAGTACTAATGATTTAAGAGAGGATGTTCATACCAGGGGGAAGTTGTCGGGGTCGATCCAGATGATGCTGAGGTTGGGGTTGTCGGTGTTCTCGCGGGCCACCTCCTTCAGGATTTCCAGGAATTCAAAACCGTCTGAAGAAGAGTTCAAATGTCAGGTACAGATTGTGAGGCCGATAATGTTGGGGGTATCTGATCGACCAGCTGATCAAACACCTATATGGATACATAGATAGGTATTGAGGCACTGGGGTAAACTTTTACCTGGATCATCTTCCTCAGCAAAGGCCACAATGTGCTCTCCGTCAATGTCATCCTCCTGTGAACACGAGTACAGATGATAGAACATTTCAGTTTAAGTGGTGGAGAAAGGGAGCATTGTTTAACAGATGCTCGGTGAATGAGGGTTTCAGATCTCTTACCCAGATCTCATACATGCTGTGGGGCTCCAGCTTCCTCAGTGTTGGCCTGAAGAATTTAGCAAAAAAACAAAATAAAGTTGTTATCAGCCATTGATTTATCCTCTGACAGCACAAAAACAATAGACTTGATCCATCACTCAGGGTGTCACCTGTCATGCTCTTCGATGTAGTCAATGAGCTCAGACTCGACGTAGGGCTTTCCTGGAATGGTGACGGGTTCCTCCATGAAGGGCTCATAGAAGTCCACTTCGTTCATCTTCAGCTTCAGCCTCTTGGCGATCTGAAACACCAAGGAGAGAGATGAGGGCCGGCAAACAACAGAGAACATTTCAAAATCAAAAAAACTGACAAAATACACCATTTTAATGCAAATAATCAAACAATTTACACCTTGGGGTCAAACGTGGCAAAGAATTTGACGAAGGGGTGGAACTCCTCGGCGGCATCGTCGTACTCGATGAAGTCTGCATGGGGAGATCAGGGAAAACGTCTCATTAAGCGTCTCTTAGGTTTCGCTTCTGTTTGAACCTCGGTCGTCCGATGGTGAACTTTGACCCACGTGCAGACTTCTCGCTCCTGAAATAGCCGACCAGCTTGATGACCTCGTCCATGTTGTGGAAACCCTTGAGCTCGCGCTCGTTGTCGATGATCTCCACGGGGTCCTCGACCACCTGACGGGGAGACATTTTTATTAGTTGCAATAGTTACCATAAAAACGTGGTCTCCATTTACCCACAGTGCTTTGCGCCGCGCCAGAAATGACTTACATCGTAGAGGAACTCCACCAGGGTGTCGGCCGCCAGCTCGCCGTCGTACTCAATGATCTCATTGTCAGCAAATATGTAGATGCTCTCCACCTCATCCAGACCTGCAGAGGAAGTCCATACGCCATTATACCAGAAATGATCTTATCAATGTGTTAAATTGTTGTAAAGCACAGCAACGGTTGGTCAGTATGATGATAATGAAAGACGGCTGGATAGTAAAGGTATAAGCAGGTAGAATTTATTTTCCTGCTCCTGAGGCTCGTGGTTTTGGGTCTACAGCTGCCCTTACAAAAACACTGTGGTACATTTAGTCAACACTTGAGGGCAGACTTGCTTCATATGCTGTGTGCAGTATATCTGCTTTAATACAGATTGAATCCCATATTTGCCAAGAACGTCCAATTTTAACATTTGCTATGAACAACCCTTACACTTATTGTTTGGTTTGCACTCCATCCATCTTTTGTTTTGTTGAATGTTATTATAATTATTTTTGTTTCCGTGACCAGGTCCCTGTCAGTGATTGGCAGCGCAGCTCACCAAGCTTCTTGGCTACAGCGGAGTCTTTCTTTTCGTCCACCAGGCCGAACCCGATGTCCTCGTCGTCGAAGTCGCCCAGGACTTGGGCCGCGAGCTGCACAGAGAGACACAGACGGGCGGAGGGACGGAGAGGTGGGGAAGTAAGAGGGATAAAAGGAACTAGTGTTTAGCACCGCATGGCGACTGGTACCACCTCTGACCCGCCGCGGCGTCTCGACGGATCGCAGAAGTCCACCGAAAGACCACTTTCAGTTTTATTTACAGGAGCGACCCCCTCTGGCATTTTGTCTTAATTCCAAGGCCTTAAAAGCGAACGCTTTAGATCGCTGCCTTGCACTTTCTAAAACGGAGAGAAACCCGAGCCAACAATTGACAGCACCCGGAGCCGCCGCGAGAGGAGCACAGACAGCGGGCTTCTTCCAGAAGAACAAGAGGGGCAGAACTTGAGCCAACCCAATGTCGAAGGGTGGAGGCGCTGCAACAGGTGTGGTGGAAAGGAGACGAGCCGCATACGTGCACACACACACTGTTAGTACATAAACAAAACTGTGTTCATCAGTTACACACACATTCATTATTGCCCGTTTTTAATGCTCGGTTCCATTCTGGGTGAAGTGGGCCAAAAGCACTGTGTGGCGCTTTGCAAAGCAGCAATGCAGAGACGGATGGCATTCATGTGCAGCCAAGGGCCCCAAAGCACCGGCAACAAATAGCTAGTGCAGCATGAATAGCATTTTATCTGTAAGGCCATCCATTATTTTGGGCTCCGCAGTCCAGACACATTAGCTCATGATTGGACCCAGCGCCAATTCTTCTCTAATCTGATTAGTAGGACTGGCCTCTTTACTTGGAAACACCAAAGCAAGCTAATCGCCTTGCAACGACCCATGTGAAAGGTTTCTTTTACTTTTAAGGGTACAATTAAAACCTTTTCTCATTCCTAGTCAGCTTGGCTGTGCAGATTTTTTTCTGCTGAGCTCAGTATTCTTCTCAAAACCCCTCAAGGCCTCAAAGAGTCACGTCCGTTGCTCTGAGGAACGGAGCCAGCAACGGTTAGCCTGACGCCTGAATTCTCGGCTGCTTCGGCGCTTCCTATCGCTCCCCTTCATCTCGATGAGATCATATCGGCCCCCTCGACTGATGTAATGTGTCAATTCATTGAGGAGCACAAACTAAAGATGATTCACCTCAGTTGGAGTCATGGTGATGGCAGAAACTCTAGTTGTTCGCATACATCCAAACCACCTGCAAATGCATCCAGATCATTGATGGGTGAACGGGTGGATATTGAAGTTTGATTAATAGATTCGAGATTCAGTCTCTCTGTGTTTTCTGGTTGTGGCTTCACGTAATTCCACCCGCTCCGAACCAAACTGCAGTCAAGGAACGGCAGGATCGGCAGGTACCGCAGCCGCCGAGGCCGCAGGGTGCGTATCTCACAACCCGGCTCTGCAGGCACAGGGAGGCAGACCTTGACATACCTGGAAGATACTTGCTGCATGAGCCGCGATCGACTGCAAGAAGAGGGAACGCTTTAGGGCAAAGCACAACAAACCGGAGCGGGAGAAGAAACCCCCATTCTATGGAATCAAAGCCCACCATACAGTAGTTATACGTTGCGTGAGCCCGTTTTAAAAGACCAGCGGGACGGAGGAAGTGGCATCTAGCAGATTGCCACCAGCCGAACACAGATTACACAGTATTTCCCTCACAAAATACACCGTGTTAGTGCAGTACTTTAAAGAAGCCCATGCCAACGACTACTAAACTATTCCCCTGCCTGTTGCCACGCGGCGCGTCCATATTCTCATCACCGGGGTATTTATAAAAGAGGTGAAGTTCCCGGGTGCTCGCAGCGAGGTGGAAGCGAAGCGTGGCGCCCGCGGCTATATAAGGCCGCGCGAGAAAGCCCGCCGAGCGGCAGAAAAGGGGATCCGTTCGACGTGTAGAAACGGGCGGCGGAGCGGGAAGGAGGAGGGCCGATGAGTGGATGGAGACACTTGACACCCTTGTTCCTCCCCCTCGATCGTCTCTCCTCCGCGCTCTCTGGTGTCGGCTGCCTGACACCTTTCCTCACGTCTGAGCGTTCATCGGAGGGGGCTTGGCTCCGTCTCCTGGGGGCCAGGACACGAGCTGAGATCAGAGGGCCACGGTGGTCATAAGCGTGCCGTGGGACCAGATTGGCGAGCTGGGAGAAGATGGAGGGGTTGCAGTGCAGTAAGAAGGGGGGGGGGTGTCATCTTTCTTGTAATATAGCCGCCCGCGTGCTTACTCAACACCACTGGACGCCGGTCACCCCTCGGATTGTTTACTTTGGTCAAACCGGGGCGGGAGTGGCAGGTGCCGTTGCTGCTGAGTGGGTCTAAAATGTCTCATCGGTCTCCGATTCGTTGTGTCTCTGACGGAGAGAACGTCCACATTCCTTATGACACACGTCTACAAATCTGCACATTGTCCCCGCAAGACAAGGGAGGAAATCGGTTTCATTTATTCACTCGCTCTGCCCCGTGAGTCATGGACCCTTCCCGGGCCCTCAATGGTCGCCTTGTTGCATTCTCTCCATCGCCGCTCTGTGAGTCACTTTTTATTCGGTCGCTCCTGCGATCGCCGTCTGCTTCTCCAGTAAACAACCGAGCAGCTTGATGAGTCTGTTGTTTGTATGTGCGCGTCTCGTCACTGTAGCAGCTTCCACACCGGCTGCCTCTGCAGTTCACCTCATCGCCTTCAACATTCGAGCCCAAAGATTGAACACACTGAATCGCAGGAGAGTGAATGTAGATTTGTGTGTGTGTGTGTGTGTGTTAACATGGTTTTACTTACAATAAATGCAGGTAAAACACATTATAAAAGCATGCTTGCTTTTATGATGCAGTTTCGGTATTTTGGGGGGAATTTTGTTGCAAGAGATCTTGACGTCAATCGTGACGCAGGTGTGTTTTTGTTCAAATTTCACTTCCTTCCCGATACAGAAATGTCACAGTCAACAAGCTCCTCTTGAAATTCTGAGAATGGGACTGACTCCTTCTTCAATAATCAAAATAAGATTTGTTTTCTCTGCTATGTATCTTATACATCACACTGGAATATGAATAATACGAACAATTGGTGGGAAGAGCACTTAAAAAGTTGTGGCCTTCGTACCTTCGTACATCTTCAACAACAAATGTGTGTGTGCGTCTTTTCACAAACGGGTGGGTAATAGTGGCCATGATACACCCGTGAAAATGGATAAATCTGTAAATCAAGAAACATTAAAAGGCTTTCAGATGCCCCGTCTCCCCGAGTGGCCAAAATACCTGTGATCTGCGCAAAAGAAAAGAGTTGAACCTTCTTTCCCCTCCAGCCAGATGCTAAATTAATAATGTCTGCTGTAACACATCAGGACTGTTACACAACACTGCGCCAAGGCGGTCATGAAAGATTCAGGTTCAACAGCTCTGTGGCTGCCCTGTTTTTAAAGAAATGCCCAGAGGAGACCCTAAAGCTAAAATAAATCTCCTAATCTAATCATTTTCATCAAGGCGCTTCGTCTCTCCCACCTTCCTCTCAGTGCGCGGCTCGTTGGAGAGCTTTTAGAGAATCTCACAGGCACACGAGCTGATTCACTTGAACAGACTGCGAGGGTCACACACACGTGTCCGGGACCATCTGCGAATGACTCACACAGGCGGCAACGAGCCATCACGCACACTTCTCCCGCAGCGACGGCCGCGGCTCGTTGGAGTCGCGCTCCCGAGTCACGCGACAGCCAGCGGGTGTTACGTGAAACAAACTTAGCAAGAGGGTGAGCAGATGTGTTTACGGGAACCCGAGTTATTTGGGATTGGACGGGTGCCGATTGCCGTGGGTGCTAATTAAAATAAAAGTGATCTTTTACTCCTGCATTTAAAACGCCTTCGTGACTCTGGTAAGAATTGAACGTTGGGTCACGGAGGTTATTGGCTACGAACGATCCCACTGGAAGGCGTGAATAGACCTTTTTCACGTCAAACAACCCTCACACAACCGTGGCCGAATTCCATTTAGCTGATTCAGTTTCCCGGTGCTGTGCGCTTAGGACAAATGGATTACGCAATGAAGCCATCCTTAATTAAAATGCTTAATAACTCTCCTCTGGGATATGTTAATGGGACGTGTGCCGGGGGAATCATTAGCGGCTCTATGAATACACCTTGTGAACAGGGTGATGAAGTAGTTCCAAGCGCGTCTGTACTTAACTCTCGGGGCTGTCTTCATTCAGGCCCGACCAAACGATCCTTACATTATTCACGACGCACCTTTCCCTCCCGCGTGTCCTCGGCATCCTCCTCCTGTGAGCGAGACGATTAGAGGACGTTGCCTGATACGAATATCGGTGGAGGGGGAGAAGCAGGAGATCGGCAGCCAGGGGGACAACGCGGTGTAGGCGGGTTGGGACGTGGCCGGGGTACGTTGACGGTGACAGAACCAGCAGCGGCCTCTCCGACAGCCTTTTAGAAACGGACGGGCACTTTTACCTGGTCATGAATAAGCCTCAGTGTAAATCGGACGCCTTCACATGACCTTTATGGGTAATCGAAATATGTCAAAGCACTCGGTTTTACCAGAAATAATGGGTCAATAATGGGTCACTCCAACATTGATAGACCCTCTGTGGACACTGAACTGTAGAGCACAAGTTCTCTGGGGAGTTAGTTGGTATGAGGTTCTCAATACACTACGACGATGAAGCCATCAAATACTTTTTACCGATCCGGATGGCCGATGTCGGTATAGAGGCTGCTGGTGAAAAATCCTGCAATAACTGTTCATCCTCCTGGAGGGTCCTGCTTCCACGGGGATTAAATCCAACTCAATATCTGAGATCATGTACCCAACAAAGGGGGCGTGGAGGCGACACCGTGCCGGGTAGGGTTTCGGTTCAATAAATAAACTGTTGAGCTGCAGTTTGTCTCCTGAATAGATCAAACACACACTGTATAAGTATCGTATTCTACTGCCTTCAGGTCATGTGCATGACCGGCCTCACACATACACGATCGTGCCTGTGATAGATGAGACATTTTTAAAGAGAGAGACTGTAGAATAAAGCCGTTGACACTGATCCTTATCGTGACAGCAGAATATGTAGTTTCAACAACAGCTGGGAGCCTCGAAATCAACAGGCAACCACTTCTATTAGTAATCTTCCTCCAACAACAGGTGGCTTCTGAAACGCAACAAACCAAGGACACTTCATCTAAACATAACTCCTGTCACATTTAATGACATCGCATCGGATTAATTAGTTTCTAATTCAGCGCCTTTTCCACACGGTTAATTAAAGGGGAGGAAGTAAGTCAGAATGTCACCACGAGGTCCATCAGGATGTGATTTTTCTTGCGGAACTTGAAGGAGGGAAATGTCGAGTGTCGCCTCCTGTGCTGCATGAATGAAGAATAAACTGAGTAAAACGAGCTCTTAATAACGAGGGACCGTTTGTCCAGGAGGGAACAAAGCGGCTTGAAAATTGCAAAGTCCTGTGTGGGTTGAAGTTAAATTACAACCACACGCTACCAAATGTATTAACATAATCCAGGATTATTCTCTCGAAAACGTAACTCGTGAGCAAAAAAAAAAAAGTAGGATGCACAATTATTAACTTCTTCTTTGTCTCCATCAATTCTATCCGCTATTGTTCCAAATGAAAGCGTGAAAGGTTTTGTGCCGGTGAAGAAAGGAGGCAGAGAGTTTGGATAGCGTTACCACGGCGACGGTCTGACCTTTTCCCAGCTCTCTCAGTAGATGGAAGCCGATTAGAGAAGACAAAGCAGGAGCCTCCTTTTAAACCACGAAGGTTCGCTGCACATTACGAGTCCGCCTGGTGACTCGTCTTGTGTGCACCTGTGTCACTTTTGTCAGGTTTGGGGGGGGCGGGGGGGGGCTCTTCACTACGCGCATCCCTCACCGGAGGACTCAATTTAGGATGTTTTTTCTTTTTACTGTTGCAGTCACAGTTCTGTTCATACTGCTGCGAATATTTACTATTGAATTTCAATAGACAAAGAGTGTCTTCATAGGAAATGTTGCCCAACTCAAGATGTTTGAGAAAAACTAACTAAAATGTCAACCAGAGGAAAGGTCTGGGGATCACCAAAGTTAGTGTGCTTTATCCTCTGGGGACCATGAATATCATTGAACATAGAGATGAAACCCCGGCAGTGAAGCTCAGGGATTTTGTTTTCCTATTTAAGGAAACACTCTTCTCAGTTACAGTGTGCGGTGACCGTTCCATGTCATGTCATTGTTGAAACGCCATGTGGAATTATTTTTAATCATACGATCAACTTGGGATCGACGGGTCGCATCCTACGCATTGATGAATAATCAAGGTAATATAAAGTAAACCTATATTATTTTGTACTAAATGAAGCTTAGGCGAAAATTCAGTCAGGAAGACTGGACAGGCTGTGCCGTTCCCTGGTGGCCTCCTCTCTCCCTGGTGGCCTCCTCTCTCCCTGGGGGCGCACGGCCAGCTGATTAGGGGCGGGGTCGGGTAGTATCAGACGTGGGTGTCGTTACCGTAAACCAATCGCATTGGGGCAGGCAAACGTTAAAAACTGTTCTCCTCTCTTGTGCTGTCAGTTGTCATTTTCAGCACGCTCCAAAGGTGAAGCGAAGCGCAGCGTAGCGTTCAGTTAGCGGGTCCTACACCACATTGTTGCCGTCAACTCCGAAGGTCCGATTGGATGTCGGTCGATCGTGCAGGAACTAGCTCAACAAACCGAGGCGCCGCCGAGCAGCAGGCGTGGTAGCACGCGCGCACAAGGCAGAAAGTGGTGTAAGCAACAAGCTTCCCTCTGTCCAGGTGTGAGTGGGTGAGGCTCACAGCTGGCAGAGAGCGTGTCGATCCCTCCGTGCCACCCGCACCAGCACGGGGAAGGACGAGAAGCGCAAGCAGCCCATTATGTTACATGTAACGTTCATTCAGCGGAAGCTTTTATCCTAAGGGACGACACGCGCATTCATCATAGGGTACAGAACCAGAACCACATAAGCAAGCACAAATTAATGCTTCATTAAGAGCGGGCAGCAAACACTCTGCGTGTGGTTAAGAGGTTACTGTTCTCGCTGTGGGGGAGCGACAATCACGCTACGTCTAACCGGGAGAGCGCAGCACCCGGAGTGTTCTCCCTCAGATGCTCCGGGCCATCGAGGACGGACATCACCGTCATCTCGACGCTGGGAAACGCGCAGATATTCCGTCCACAGCAAGCAGCCGCGTAGCCGTCACACTCAGCACGACAAGCGACGCTCCACAGCCACGCAGATTGAAGCGGCTCGGCGTTTCACAGGCATCCGATGTCCCCGATCGTCCACCGGGCGGGCATGCAGATACTAAACGGCTCAGGTGAAGCTCCGCGACACAAGCTACCGGCCTCCGCGTGATGCCAGCACGGCGGCCGGCGCTCCGGGAGGGTAAAGTAGCAGCTCCATGGTTGAGAACGCAGCTGGCGGCTACGAGACGTTAGTCGCGCGGTGTAATGTATAATGTAATGTTTACTCTGAGAGGTGGCATGAGTCAACGGTAGACTGCTTCAGCTTGAGTGGGGATTTCAGCGCGAACTACGGGAGTAATAGTTACAACCAGCACCGGAGAGGAGTACGGAAGCGCGAAGCAGAGATGCGCTTCAGAGGGGGACGTTGACTCACGTATCAATGATAATTCGGGTAGTTTGAACTTGTAATTTCCGGGCTAGAAGGATCCAC